TGCCGTCTGTGTGTGTGCCAGGTCGATGCGTGACAACCCTCTGAAGCACCTGAACGAGGACGATCAGGGCGTCTTCCGCGGCGACAACTACGTGCGGATGTCTGCCGACGCCCTGGGGATGGCGACGAGCGAGGCGTTTGCGTGGGAGTCGTATAAGCACGGTTCCAAGGTGCATTTCCAGGCCCAGCCCACACAGCTCGAGTACATGTACAAGCAGCACCTCGACAAAAAGAAGGTACGTACGTACGTCACTCACTCACCAGAGAGAGAGAGGGGCGGTGGGGGGGAGTGGGGCGAGGGGGGTTTGGGTCGTTGTGGACGTGACGCGTTTGTCGTGTGTGGTGTGCACTGCAGGCGTTGCAAGAGGAGAAGAAGCAGGAGCTGCTGGGCAAGTATGGCGGCGAGGACCACCTCAACCCGCCCAAGGAGCTGCTCTTCTCACAGACAGAGGCCTACGCCGAATACGGGAGAGACGGAACGTAAGCGACCAACCCGCCCCATCCTCACACACAAGTCTCAGGTGCAATACTGTCCTGTCTGTGTGTTGTCTGTCAGTTTGTTGAAGGGTCGCGAGCGTGTGTTGGCCAAGTCCAAGTACGAGGAGGACGTGCACCCCGGCAGCCACACGTCGGTGTGGGGCAGCTACTTCGACATGGAGACGCACAAGTGGGGATACTCGTGCTGCAGACAACTTTATAGACACGCCGAATGCACCGTAAGCTCACTGAACGAGAGACATCCCCACAGCCCAACATGCATCTGTCTGTCTGTCTGTCGACTTGCGTCTGTCAGGGCCCTCCCCTCCCCCCTCCGTCAGCAGCGGCAAAGTCCAAGCCCACACCGGCACAGGCGGTCCAGCAGCAGGCCAACGGCCACCCCCTTCCCTCCTCCCCTCAGTCCAACAATGACAACGCCCTCGCCCCTGCACCCACCCACCCACCACCGCCCCCAGCAGCAGCAGCGGCAGCGGCGGCATCAGCCGAGCAGCCCGACCACATCGCCATGCCGCCCCCGCCCCTCCCTGACTTCGTCAAACCCAAGCCGGCCCCTGCAGGCATTAAGGAGGACCATGCGATGGGCAGCAACGGGAGCAGTGGGGACGACGAGTCGTCCTCTGACTCAGAGGAGGACAAGAGAGGGAGGCGGCCAGCCAAGCGCAGGGACAAGGCTGCCAAGGCCGGTGCTGCTGCTGGTGGTGGGCTGCTGAGCGGCGCCACGACGGACAAAAAGGAGCGGCGCCGGAAGAGAAAACAGAGGGGCGAGGGCGACGAGGGGGAGGGGCGCAAGGGCGACATGATGGCGTTGCAGAAGACCAGTTTGTACGGCCACAACCTGGGCACCGAGGGGCTGGACGAGGGGGAGGTGCAGCGTCAGATGAAGAGAATGAGACAGGAGCAACAAGACGTTGACGTCGACGAGAGGTGAGCCAGGGAGTGACCACACCCACCCGCCACACCACACATGGACATTCACGTTCCTTTCCTGGCTGTGTGCAGGCGTCGGTCGTATCACAGCATCGCCGGCACCAACGCGCTGGGCACCGTCACTGCAGAGGAGATGGAGGTCAGCGAAGGCCACACACACGTGGACTGACTGACATCGACGCGTTGTGCCACGCCCTCGTGCGTTTGTGTCTGTTGTCCGTTCCCTCAGGCGTACAGTCGCAGCCGCGTGCACGCCGACGATCCCATGAAGGCCTTCCTCAAGTGATGTGTGTGTGTGTGACCACACACTCTGTCTGACAACACACGGCTGTCTGCGTGCCCGTGAATGTCGAGTGGGTGGGTCTTGTGTAACGGCGAGTGGGCGAGATTTTTCCATTCTTGGATGGCTGCGTGGATGGGCCAGTCAGCCGTGTGGAAGTGAGAGCCGGTGTGATCTGTTTGTATCGTCCATCGAGATCGACCCTACGCTGCTCTCCCCTGTGTGTGTGGGCTGCTCGTGTTTGCCGCTGTCGCATCTGTGCCGTCGTGAATGGTGCTCGTATCGAGAGTAGATGTGGGAGCCTTTTCCGACTGCAGGGATTTGGCGACGACACACAGGCACAGGAGAGGGCAGTTAGTTGTACGACTGACACGCTCCTTGTTCCGTCGGCCCGCTCGGTGTGTGTGCGCCGGGGTGGGTATCTCTCTGTTGCTCAATGGTTGACACGTACGTGCGGACTCTCTGCTTTCAATGAGACATACGTAGGCTGCCGAGAGACAAGGGCGATACACTCACAGTGATGCGCATGGCATGGCAACACGGGCGGTCGCCAGCCACGGACGACTGACTGTCGTGTCATGAAGAATAATACTATTGCTCGGTGAGATGGGTGGTGGCTCCGTGAGCGTGTCTGTCTGTACAGGGTTTGGCGACCACGAGCCCACACGCAGGTCCGACACCCAACACGTCACGCACATCAGCACACGCACACACAGATAATGTGCGTCAAAGGGATGGTCGGGTTCTAAGTACCGGATGGCCTCTCACGAAAATATCTCTCGCTCCAAACAGCAGTCTTTCGCTCAAACAGCAGTCTTTCGCTGAGGCATCCCCCGTTACGTTTCGCTACTGCCGGCCTGCCTCCTCGCCCTCGACGTGCCGCTTGCGGCCTTTTCGGCATTTATGGTGGGCACACACATGAATCCGTCCATGCGCCCAGCGAGTCGACGAGAAACAGCGAGTGAGTGAAAGGCTGAAACCTCATGTCTGACCAGCCGCTCAGCAGACTGACATGACCGAAGGATCAAACGGAAAGGTTCAGACAGATATAAAATGAAGGCAGCGATGGATTGCCGTCAGGTCTCAAGCAAATGTCTCTCTCGCTCAAACACCCGTCTGTCGCTCAGGCATCCCACGCTATGGTGCCGGCCTGCCTCGCCCCCTTTACTGTCCGCGGCCTTTTTTGCGTTCCGTCCTCCTCTTGAGGTCGTAGGCGGCCTGTGGCGCCCTCACCTCCCCCAGCGCCGCGTCTGCCCGCAGCTGGGCTATCGGCAGCTGCATGTTGGGCACGCTGCGGCGAGGGAGGGCCGCCTCAAAGGCGCCACGGTTGTAGGCAGCGATGTCGAGGGGGAGTCAGTCCCAGCAGGCCTCCCCCAGCTCCTCCTCGACAAACGACTCGTCCACCGAGACCAGCGGGCGGATGTGCTGCAGCAATACACACACACACACACACACGCAGACACACAGACAGTCAATACACCACACACGAGTGATGATTGCCACTTGTGTGTGTGGTGTGTGCAGTGATCGCTCACGTGCCTCGTCATTACGGTCGGATATGTTGGCCAGCACCGGGCCGTGCATGGCGGCCAGCGTGATATCATAGATCAGCTGCGTGGCGTAGCTAGGCATGGGCTTGCCCTCGGCCAGCCGCCTGCTACTCACCACCTCAACCACCTGACAGACAAATGGAGAGACACACAAGAGGTGGGCAAATGTCGTGTGCAGGGTGAGTGGCATGTTGTGTGAGTGATGTTCACCTCCTGTATGTTATTGTGCGTTTCGAGCAGCGTGAAGGCCTCGGGGAGACTGCTGACCACCCGCGGGAAGTGGCTGCCTCCGTTGAGTAGGAAGCCAGCCACCATCC